ACAAAAAGTAAGGCCTGCCAAACAATTTGCTGAAGGCCTCCTTCGTTAGTATTGGTAGACCAGTATTCTCGCCTTGCCAGGCAGAAGGCCCAGGTTTGGATTCCCTGACGGGGAGATTCTTCTTAATAAGCAATCTAAAACGTGTCATTGGTCCTGGGTTTCTCCATTCTGTGCCTCACATCTCATGTGGATGGGAGCTTATTTTTAGTACTGAAACCTACAAAGTTCTGAACAGACTTGTTGCTAAAAACATGACTCCAAATTTGTCCCATTTCCTGTCACTCAGCAAAAGTGTGACATGTTTGTCAAAGATTTGCTGAATCAAACAAATCCATGCAGGAGGACTTCTCTCAGACGATGTCAATCGGTTGCCTTCATCAGTTGCCTCAGGCGCAGCCTGGAAGAGTTGTCTTTTTATGGCCGGGTGAAAGAAGATTCCCCGCTGCAGCGTGAGCCGGACAAAAGTTAAGGCTGCCAGACAATTTGCTGAAGGACTCCTCGTTAGTATAGTGGACAGTATCTCTGCTTGTCACGCAGAAGACCAGGGTTCGATTCCCTGACGGGGAGATTCTTCCTAATAAGCATCCAAAAACTGTTCATCGTACTTGGATTCTCCAATCCTGTGCCTCACAACTCATGTGGATTGGAGCTATTTTAGTACTGAAACTACAAGTTCTGAACAGACTGTTGCTAAAAACATGACTCCAAATTGTCCCATTTCTGTCACTCAGCAAAAGTGTGACAATGTTGTCAAAGAATTGCTGAATCAAACAAATGCATGCAGGAGGACATCTCTCAGACGATCTCAATCGTTTGGCTTCATCAGTTGCCTCATGCGCAGCCTGGAAGAGTTGTCGTTTTATTGACCGGTTGAAAGAAGATTCCCCGCTGCAGCGTGAGCCGGACATAAGTTAAGGCTGCCAGACAAGCTGCTGAAGGACTCCTCGTTAGTATAGTGGGCTGTATCTCTGCTTGTCACGCAAAAGACCAGGGTTCGATTCCTTGATGGGGAGATTCCTTTTAAAAGGCATCTAACAACTGTCCATTCTCCTTGGCTTCTCCAATCCTGTGCCTCACATCTCATGTGGGATTGGAGCTATTTTAGTACCGAAACCACAAGTTCTGAACAGACTGCTGCTAAAAACATGACTCCAAAGTGGTCCCCATTTTCTGTCACCTAACAAAAAGTGTGACAATGTTGGTCAAAGATTTGCTTAATCAAATAATTGCCTGCAGGGAGACGTTCTCTCAAACATCTCCACCCATTTGGCTTCATCAGTTGCCTCATTGCGGCGGGCTGGAAGAGTTGTCTTTTTATTGACCGTTGAAATTTTATTCCCCGCTGCAGCGTGAGCCGGAAAAAAGTTAAGGCTGCCAGACAATTTGCTGAAGGACTCCTCGTTAGTATAGTGGACAGTATCTCTGCTTGTCACGCAGAAGACCAGGGTTCGATTCCCTGACGGGGAGATTCTTCCTAATAAGCATCCAAAAACTGTTCATCGTACTTGGATTCTCCAATCCTGTGCCTCACAACTCATGTGGATTGGAGCTATTTTAGTACTGAAACTACAAGTTCTGAACAGACTGTTGCTAAAAACATGACTCTAAATTGTCCCATTTCTGTCACTCAGTTAAAGTGTGACAATGTTGTCAAAGAATTGCTGAATCAAACAAATGCATGCAGGAGGACATCTCTCAGACAATGTCAATCGGTTGGCTTCATCAGTTGCCTCATGCGCAGCCTGGAAGAGTTGTCTTTTTATTGACCGGTTGAAAGAAGATTCCCCGCTGCAGCGTGAAAGAAGCCTCCCCCGCGGCGACGAAAAAAGTTAAAAGGCTTGGCTGCCAGACAATTTGCTGAAGGACTCCACGTTAGTA